AAAATTCCAATAGAATAATCTTTAAAGAAAAAATAGTTGATCGTTAGATCTGTATAAAAATGTTCATTGTCTTAAGAGAACTGTCTCAATAGTTTTGCAAAAATAAATTCCGCATAGAGGAATACGTGTCACCAATCACAAAAACACTGCTACCGTTGCTGGGGATGCCTCCATTAAATGCTGACTCAAACAGGTTGAATACTTGTTTTGTTTCAACGTCACACCAGTACACGACCTCGATGACCTTCTTTGTCACACCTGGAAGCATCACATGCACATGTATCACTCTGCACTGGGAACTAGACAACCAGGTTTCAGTACACACAAAGGAATATTATGTGTTATGGTAAAAAAAATGGGTGTGGAGGTACAGTATTGTTTCTGGAGGATATGACATTTGTAAAGGTAGAAGAATGTCTCTAGGGGTAAAATAAAAGCATTGGGATAGAAGTGTCCACCTTGTGCTGAACAAGAACATGTTGTAGCAAGTCGATAATAGTTTAGTCACATATGAGCAGTAACCTGCATTATAAATATTATTTACTAAATGTACTTAAAGTATCAAAGGTACTCAATGCAGATGTTTGACTGTTATACTAGTATATATTATATACATATACATTGAATTTGAATTACTGATGCACCAGTGTGTGAGTAGTAGGGGAGAATGGGGTTGGTTGTCACCTGGCGTTCTGAGAGGATGGTGGGGGTGGACCTGTAGCTGGCTCCGTTTTAAACCTAGAGTGAAGATACTGGTATCATATGAAACTATACGACCTAACACACCCATTGTAAACAACAATGTCCTGCTGGCATGTCGGGAAGGGGGCTCCAGTTAGGCAACATTTTCCAAAGGGATCTCTTGACCTCTGACCTCAAGATATCTGAATGGAAGGGGTTCTATGGGTAGTCACAAGTCTCACCTTACAGACATGCCCACTTTATGCTATTCCCATGCTGTTTTTTGCATTTGGTATAAATAGATTACATCCACCTAGTGTATTTGAATATTACTGCATACTGGGGTGGGGCTCACAAACAGTACTGGAACGGCATGATTTGGGATTCAATTTTATAGTGAGACACATACTTATTAATGCAACCCCTGCATAAGTCAGTGCCCCTCTTGTGCTACCCCAGTCAAAAAAGTCTGGAAATGCCCTGCTATTGTGATGTCACCCATTGGTTTGTGGAGTACCATTTTGAAGCCTTGAGTTCAGCATTAGGGTTGTTGCCATGTTGTTTTTTTTTGGAGCCAGCAGTATCGTGAGTTCAGCTGCTTTCATTGGTGGTGTAGTTTCAACTCATCCGTAGCAGGAAACAATGGCAGCTCACCTGGTCACACATGATCTCGTATTTCAGATAAACAGCACATTAAAATATGTTCGTGAAAAGATTTAAAGAGAGAAATAGTTAACACAGTAACAGACTATTAATCCATATTTGATCACCACTGCCTAGTTTGATCTGAGTTTAGTGCATTGAGCTGGACCGACTCACTGAGAGTGACCTGTCAATCACAAAGAAGCCACGCCCTAAAGCAGTAGTCTCAAACTTGCTTGCTAACTTGCTAAACTTGAACAGTTTATTTATTGGCAGGCAACATGTGCAACATATTACCTCTCTATCTCAGAGGCACCACTTAAACCAGAGCAGCTTCTTCCACGGCAAGCATCATAGGAACAAGAAAAAAAAATGTTTTGAGTGGAGGGGGGACTTAACACAACTACAGACTCAAAAGCTGTGCCCACCAACCTCCTACTGTATACCCTATGTATATCCTATACTATGGAGAGAATTCTGTTCCTTTATTATTCAATCAAATAGAATAGATTTGAAACCAAAAAAGAGATTTGAGAGCAAAAAAGAGTAAGTGGCAATCAAAACAATTTTTTTTGAGATCGAAACAGAACAGGTTGCAATTGAAAAAAAAATATGAGAGAACATATTTCTTCAACTTCAATCAAAACTAATGTTTGTAAGTAAAAACATACGACCATTTTGCTTATAAATCAGTCCTCTTTACTTGCGAGTTATAAAGTTTTGCTTGCGAATTCAACTGCACTTGATGGGCGGGGCCTACGCTGGTGGACGAGAGAAGAGTTTCTATTGGTTGGTTTGACCTGGCTACGTCTTCCACATTACACCCACTTCTCCCTGTGCTGTGCTGCTTGGAGGTAGCCTGTTGCTCTTGAAACGTTTCCCATAAGTAATGAATTGCGCTATATATCGTTGGCTACAGCCTGCCGTACATTCACAACAACAACAACAACAACAACACAAGTAATGAATTATAATGCCCTGCTGCTGCTAGCTCACTGATTAGCAGCAACATGGTTGTCTGTGTTAGTAATGGCCTGAGCAGAGTAGCCTAATGAGTGAGTGAATTACAGGGAGGCGTATACAACGTAAGGCTGTGATTTAAACATTTAGTGTTGCATGGTACTCGCGGTGCCAAAACGTCACGGTTCCTACACAACAGTACTACCGTGGATTACTAAACTACTGCTGAACGCGGGGCCAGTTTCCACTGTGTAGCGGGCTGCCGCTACTCCTCCCGGCTCCCGTTCTCGCTACAGCTGTTCTAATGTCTACAAACACACGTGGCAAATAATAATAAAAAACAAATTCACGCACATATTTCTAACCAGCCAGCATTACTGGTCTATACAGGAGCAGCTGCGTCAGATGGTCCGACTTAAATGACACTGAATGATGCTTCTGACCTCAGAGATGTACAATGTGTAGGCTATAGAAGAGAAACACAAATTTCAGCACCACTGATCTATATAATCAGACCAAAAGACATGTCCTGTGATTGTAATTATTCGCCACGTGTGTTTGTTGACATTAGAACAGCTGTAATTCACTCACTCATTAGGATACTCTGCTCAGGCCATTACTAACACAGACAACCATGTTGCTGCTAATCAGTGAGCTTGCAGCAGCAGGGCATTATAATTCATTACTTGTGTTGTTGTTGTTGTTGTTGTTGTGAATGTACGGCAGGCTGTAGCCAACGATATATAGCGCAATTCATTACTTATGGGAAACGTTTCAAGAGCAACAGGCTTCTCCAAGCAGCACAGCACAGGGAGAAGTGGGTGTAATGTGGAAGACGTAGCCAGGTCAAACCAACCAATAGAAACTCTTCTCTCGTCCACCAGCGTAGGCCCCGCCCATCAAGTGCAGTTGAATTCGCAAGCAAAACTTTAGAACTTGCAAGTAAAGAGGACTGATTTATAAGCAAAATGGTCGCATGTTTTTACTTACAAACATTAGTTTTGATTGAAGTTGAAGAAATATGTTCTCTCATATTTTTTTTTCAATTGCAACCTGTTCTGTTTCGATCTCAAAAAAAATTGTTTTGATTGCCACTTACTCTTTTTTGCTCTCAAATTTCTTTTTTGGTTTCAAATCTATTCTATTTGATTGAATAATAAAGGAACAGAATTCTCTCCATACCATACACCATTGTGGAAAAGAGAAAGGAAGGGAGAAAGAAACAGTGGTTTCCAACCTTTTCCCTTAGGGACCCCTTTTCTATCATTTAGTGAACTGACAACCCCTGACTAAGTGACATATTTTATAGATATTTCATATTATATTCAAAACTGTACAATGAACCCAAATCATGAACTCAGTAACTGCAAGAAGTTTGTTTTTATTCCCTGTTTAGGGAACCACTGATTTAGAAGCATATGACTTGAGATTTGCCAAGGTGCACTGAGGTCAGTTTCCTCTTAGTCATGAAGAGGAACCGGGGGGGCCAGGGGGCCACGGCCCGCGAACTTTTGTACTGTGACAAACTATTTTATATGAATAAAAGCCTAAGTTGTATCTGTGTTTTTAGAGCCAAACAATACTAGTCACCACACACCTTCACTCACTGTCACCAATTGCTGCCGATAGACTCCCACTGACTGCTGCTGATAGACTCCCACTGACTGCTGCCGATAGACTCCCACTGACTGCTGCCGATAGACTCCCACTGACTGCTGCCGATAGACTCCCACTGACTGTTGCATTATGATTTGAAATTAGTGTGCATTGTTTATCAACTACGTCATGTGTGAGCGTTGTCGCGAGCTAACGGCGGGCACCTGCCAAACCTCTGGCTGCATTACCTGAGTAAATGAAGAGACAGAAGTCAATATCTGATTTTTTTTACAAATAAACAGGCAAATCAAAATGAGCAAACTACTCCAGCTTCCACTGTGGCCTCAACAACAGACCCGGAGCGTCCATCTCCACCACGGACTCCGACGATGTCTGTGTGTGTGTGTGTGTGTGTGTGTGGCTCTGCACATCAGTCTGATATGAGTGTTGACTTGTGATGATAATGACTATGATGTTGATTTAGATTCAAGGCAGTAAGATGAGTTTTGGTTGTGGTTGTGGACTGGATGTACTTTGTTGTTTGCTATAGTTCATCTGTGTGTTTATGTGTAAATGGACTTGGCCTGTTGTGTGTGAATGTTAGAGTGGGATCAGAGGGGTTAATCCGAGCAAGCATGTGTGCGTGTTCATCATGCGTGTACTGTAGATGTGACTGTATGGTGTCGGAATAAAAAAAATACTCCGCAACGTTATTTAATACATCAGTAATATTGTCTGTTTCAATGCATATGCCCCCCCCGCGTGACTTGAAATGATGCCCCCCCCCTTGTTCAGATGCGTTCCGCGGTCCATGGTCCTGTGCAAATGGTTGCATAATGTGTTCTGTGGCTTTGGAGGAGCTTTCCAAAGTGTGCAAAGACAACACTGTTGATGCTACGCTGATTCCAAAACAAAATTCCATGCTCATGTTCAGCATCTATTTCTTCACTATGGGAGTCACTACAGAAACAACTAAATCACACATGTATTCCTACCATTAGAGGAACACCTTCTGTAAGTCCAAGATTTTCGAGGTTGTCCAATAGACATTGAAAGTGTTTCATGAGCATTTTTAATAAAGTTTCATTTAAGTTGATCAGAATACAACATCTCCATAGAAGTTTAGATAAATTTTACTTGCAAAACTGCATTTGCTTTTATTATCCCATGAATAGACAGATGTGGTCATGGCCCATATTTTCAAAATCTCTGGGAATTATTTTACAACCACAGTGTGAGGAGCAACATACCCACATATCCCTGCTGCAGGATTCATTTCTATTTTATCTGGCTCATCCCACTGATAGTACAAACTATAATCCATTTAACATTCTTTTTACACTCCAATAAATAAACAATTGTGCTGTTTTCACTGAATATTACTGCAAACCACGCAGCTTGTCAAACAGGCCTTTTATAGATTTAACATCCTGATTATCCTGAGGAAAGCATTGAGGCATGAAAAAGCTCGATCAGGAGCAATTTGTGTAAAGAAAATTCCAGAACATGATTCATTCATGAATCACTGGCTGCTCACTATCCACTCAGGAAGTGAGAAATGCCTACAGGAAACCATATTACGACAATATAATGGCTGTAACAAGCTGGCGACCCCCAGTAACATAACGACAACAATGGTTATCTTACTGCAGGTGCTACTTTACAATGTAAATATTTCTTCGGTTAAACAACAATGGGTTTGGCAGGATGTAAGCTAAGACGTAAGAGACACTCCCTTATTTATTGATTATAGGCCCTGGGGGCTGCCCCAAATCCCCCAACTGTTAAACATTTGGAATATGGAGGAACATTTGGTCAACACCCACACATTTTTACTCCCCACAGACAGAAGGAAACTGCTCAGTGTTTTTTTTCATTAGTTTTTTTTAAAAACTTTCCATTTAGAAAAACATACATAAAAATATAGACATTTTTTGCCTATCATTTGCCTTGCACTGACTTGGTACAGAGAAAGCAATTAATTAAATAATAAAAAAAAAAATAACAAAACACATCCTCAACCATGTTAAATAGGCAAGTAAGCATACTTCTACAACAGAAAACAACAAAACACCAAAGAAAAAAACCCTTTCAATGTGTTTATCAGCTTACAGTGACCCCCATGCTAAGAAGAAAAACAGTGTACAATGATACCTTTGTAATCATTCACCAGATCTACAGCACAGTGTTGTGTCATTCCTCATGCGTCACCTATTAGACAGAGCTGATTTACATAATCTGTGGTGTTCACCATATTGCATGTACTTCATCTATTTTACATTTCCAGCACATTCTGTATCATAGATCAGTTTTACAACAGGTGAGTTGAGTGTACAAATTTCCTTTTCTGGTCACCCTATTTGACACTGTTGCCCCCTCTGCACATTGCTCACATGGACATACTGCTGTTAAATATCATTAGATCATATTTTAAAAAGAGAATATATCATATTGAACAGAACATGAATTGCAACATTTACTTCAAGGCACATTCTTATTACTGGACAAACACGTTTGACATACCACAAAAATGTTATCATGGCAGCAGATTGTGTGGGCGTGGGCTGGGTTTATGTGTGATAGTTTTCCGGTAAGTCTGCACTGTTTACTACACTCAAACCTTATCAAACCCACTGAGTTGGCTATGGCGACGAATTATAAAGCAAGTACAAATAATAACACAGTGACTCAGCCTTGTATGGTATTGCCTCACAGGGGTTACACACTATGATTATTTATTCAAGTTAGCGTAATGCTGTGTACTGCATCACCAATGTTGTCCTACAGCACTGATCACATTCAGCTCATTGGATTGTAAAAATGACCAATCACTGGACTTCTCCTAATAATTTACTTAATACTAGTGTTACAAAGTGCTGTCAAAATTCCTTTCATTCACAGATTTTTATGTCACCATATCTGATCGTCTTTCTGCCCATTCTCCTCGAGTCAATCTGCCCTTGGATCTTGCGCTTTAACTGTAATTCTGTCTTATCTCCTATGTTTAATGAATATTCTTCACACCAACTAATGTGGTGTACATGTTTCCAATTAATAACTCTTGGCTGAAATATTGCTGACTCATTTTTAATCTTCTTTTTAATCTTTCACAGGGTGTTTAGCAGACTGACCCACTGTTAACCATTTTCAGTAACAGCTATCAAAAAATGTGACCTGGTTCAAACACTGAAAAAAGACTAAATAAGGGCAGGGGTCACTATTTCCAGCAGGGGCAAAAGATGAAACTTCTGAAATTTCTTACTGACCCTTCCCGCCCCTCTTTGCTTTGCGCTCTAATAACAGGTGAGCAAGCCTCAGTCAGAACCTCGATCAACTTCCTCCTTTCCTTTTCCTGTACTTAGCTCGTCTATGTTGAAAGGATAACCATGTGTTTAAAATGGTTAAAAAACAAAAGCTATATATATATATACATCTTAGACAGCTAATGTTAGCAAAACACTGGCCAACTAGATAGCTAATTGACATCAGTTGTTCGCTGGCTATTTAGGTGGTTAGTTGGTTAATCTACATTCATCGTTAACTAACAAGTTACATCTGATAATGTTAGCAAAACAGAATCCAATGAGCTAGCTAATGATTGATACAGATTGTCTCGAACACTAACATTGGGAATTCTGTTTTGCATAGAATGAATCCTTTTGCTTTTGATGAGCCTCTGAACTTAAATCTGTCTACTCGTAACCAAAAAATATGAACATCTAATAAGCAGATTGCCATGACATCTCTGGGCCTACTCCCAAGGGAATAAACCTCTTCCGTTTCTTTCGGTGTCATTGTCAGGACACCAGATCAACCTCTTCAGAAGTTTTGGTTAACAGATTTTGAATTTAATTTGTTTAATACTCTAATACAAAAAAAAAAAAGCCCATCACAATGTTCAGAGCCCAGGGTGGTGTCTTCAGATTGCTTCCTTTGTCTGACCAACAGTGCAAATTACAAAGATATTCAATTGACAATGATATAAAAGAAGAAAGAGGGAAAATCCTCATCTATGAAAATTATTTTTTTCCTAATTGATAAAGTGCTTTTTCTTTTATTGTCGATTTTATATAAGATAACAAAATGCTTACTTTTATTCCCAACATACAAAAGAAGTTATCAGATATGTTTAATACAGCTGACAGTCCATTTTCTGCCAAAAGGCTGTGGACGTTAGGGATGTTTTAAGAAAAATATTCATGCCCTTATAGTGTGTCATAGTTGAATCATCACAAGGCACCAGTGTTTCTCTGTGAGCTGTTATTAATGATTTAAAGACAACTCTGCTTATAACTTCAATTTGATAAAGCAAACCTGACAGTCAAGCAGATACTAGAAGCTGCTGGCTGCTGCAAACTCATCACTGAGTTTAGACGTTTCATGAGCAGTAGTAAAAGGAAACTATAAAACTATACTGCATCTCCCCCAAGTTCACATGGAGCTGAAGGTACAAACAACCTCAAAATCAGATTTAGGTGATTACAGCTGCCTGACCAGATGACTGTGGCAGAAGTTCAGCGCCGAAGAACATCTCAGATTCTCTCGGAACAATAAGTTGAGGGTGTGATGATGTCACTCTGAGTCTGCAGTTAGCCTCCAGCGAAAACAAGCCAGCTGCATAGAGGGATTTAGTCCACTGTGTCATGCTGCAACTCACTGTGTCGACTGATGACAGGAGAAGCATGTACTGCTTGTAAGTTTCCCGGTACACAAACACCTTGTTGCGGAGTCTTATCTCATCATCCAAATGATCACACCCGTGGTCTTCCTTTCTTTCATAGGTGATCTGCAGGAAGACTCTGTAGATGCCGTTTCTGGGCACCACTAGGTCCCCACTGGAGTAGTTGAAACCTCCATGACAGAAGGCATTTCCATCCATAGTTTCCCATTCAAGATACTTCCCATTAGTGATGTTGCCTTTAGGAGCTAAGAATGAGAACAGAAAGGTTGAAATGTGGTTATGAAAAAGTTTCTTGCTTGTGTATCATTTCTAGGTAACAAGAAATGTGTCACTTATTGATGTGAAGCTGAGAATATGCTAAAGCACAGGTGGGCAACTATTTGCCATTTATTTGTTGTAACCAAACTCTACAGTGCCTGTTTACACTGATTGACAAATTCAGTCAGAGAGGAGGAGCTTATTGACCCTTCCTAAGTCCCAACCATTGGAACACAGAGCAAAATGGGGCGGGACTTAGTAAGGGTCAATAGTTTAGACCAGTGACTTTCAGTACTTGTCATCAGGAACCAAAGTATTACTGGGTGCATTTCACAACCATTAAAGTGAATCCACCTTCCCTCCCCTAACCTCTTCCTTTACTTTGTGACTTTGGCTATAAAAATGATGTAGATCACAGTCTCCAGATCTACTATAGAGAACAACTATTAGATATACTAGAACAACTATTGGGGATTTTAGAGCAAAATGGTAGACAGCACTCTCCACCATCATCATTGAAACATGAGGGAATATCTTTGGGAAGAATACTGGTCATCCCTTCTTCAATTTGTCAACCAGGGTAAACAACTGTCCAAATTCCATTTACTCTTCCTTTTTCAGTAAGTAGTTGTTTTCTTTCTCCAATTATACCATTCTAGTCACTCCTTCACTATCAGTTATCCTGACAACAAGTGGTAGTAAAGGAATACAGGAAACAATTAATGAAAAAACATTAACAGAACACCCATACCAAATAGCTGACTGCAGTCAACATTGTAGTGTTACAGCTGGGGAAAAATGTCATTGTTTTAAACCCCTGGTGATAGCAGAAGCGACCTTTATTCCCAAGTCTGCTTTTATAACTATGCTGACCATCTGCTGATCATCAACCCAGGACGTCCTCTGTGTATCAGATGGGCTTTTGGAGCTAACCATAAACAGCTACTCTGAGGAGAGCAGTGGCTTTCTGCTGTGTGATCAGCTGTGAGTCATAAGGCACATTACTGTTTCACTGTAAGAAAATTCCCAACTACCATACTTGTTGTGCATTTCCGATGTCAAAATGTTTTTGTAGAACCAGCCAAAGGAATTACAGCGCGACCGATATATCAGTTAGCCGATATTATCTGCTGATATTGGCCCATCGCAGACATATCAGTATTGTATTGATATCAGTGTATATGTTATCCAATATGCACCAACATGGAAACTGTTTTTTATAGTATTATAAAAGTATATAATGCAGAAGTAACGCTTGTGGCGATATATTGATGTCACCGCAGAGTTTTTCCAGCAGAGTGCGCTGTGATTTACAATACTATGGCAAACAGCACAGAGTAGCAGAGAAGAAGCAATTTCAACTAGAACTGGTTGACAATGTATATGTTCAATTATTTAACAAGTTAAAGAATATTTAACTTATTCTTTATAAACGTATTTCCTTAAAAAAGCATCCTTCTGCTTTTTTAGTGCAAAATAGCTGCTTAATCTACATAATCATCTACGTAATCAGTGAATCCCCCCCCCCCATCGGTATCGGTCTCAGAAATCCCATATTGGTCTGGCTCTAAAAGGAATCCAAGCTATCTGTATTACAGTCTTTGTATGTACGATATAGAAATACTCTATGGTGCTCTCTAGTATTATTATACATTTCAAAATGCAGTACATTATAATTTATAACTTCATATAGTTTGGGTCATGTAACACCAACACAATTACTATTACAATCTCTGCTGTATATGCTGAAACTGGCTGCACAACTGTTCTTCTTGTCCTTATTCTAAAGAATGTTGTTGTAAAAATTTGCATTTATTTTTAGGACGTGGGAAGCAGACATTAGTGTCTTTCTAGGAAAGTACTTTTTTTTTTACCCTCCATGTTTTACCTGTTAGCATGGCGCTTGGATTCTTGAAGACTTCATGTTGGTGCTGTCTGACACTAATGTCTAGAAGAGAGAAAATTGTTGTTTTACAAGCTGATGATTGATTTTAGAAACCCATTTTTCTCACTAGATTATTGAAGAAGACATTTACCTTGTGAGTGGCTGCTAGGCTGCGTCATGGGATGTAAGGAAACAAAGAGTGTTAACTAACAGTAATGACACACAAAATTTAAATTATACAGAAAAAATAATAATAGTAAATGCAGTAGCAAGTGTGGATTATAATGGCACAACTGTAACTGAAACAATAACAGTAATGCATAGTGAATGTTTAGTTATTGCTGTGGAAAACTGAATGCTTAAGAAGCCTATTATACACTAATGAAAACAAACCTATGAATATTATAATCCATTTCAGACTACAGAGCCGCCTAATTGTTTTACACTGGCCCTTTAAATTAAAAATAACATTTTGTCATATTCACTGAAACTTTCACTATATCCTGACAGTAGAACATGAGACAGATCATCTGTGAAACAATCAGGTTCCTCTGGCTCCTCCTAGAGCTCCTAATGGGATTTGCAAGAATCTACCGGGCCTGAATGAAAACAACCAATCAGAGCAGAGAAAAATCATTTATTGCTAAGTCTCATTCCCAGATCATTATTAGACTTAACAATCAGTCAACTATCTTTAAGCCTCCAAGCCAAAATGTCTTCCTATCTTTCTCAGCTCTAATTGGTTTTTTAGTTCAGGCCCGGTGGATTCTTACAAATACCATTAGGAACACTAGAGGAGGCAGAGGAACCTTTTCACAGATTATCTGTCTCATGTTCTACTGTCAGGATATAGTGAGAGTTTCAGCAACTTTTAAGAACCTGTTGGTGTAGGGATTTGAAGTTCTTTTCGACCAATACTTTTTAAACTAGCAGGAACGGCTCTTTACTAGATCTGGATGGCAGTATTATGTGCCTCGCTGCGTACGTGCCGGAATTCTTTTAGAGAAAGAAGACAGCAAAGAAAGAAAAAAGAAGCTGTCCAGTTACTAAGCAACGAAACTAACAAAAATTACAAGATGGCTTCGTCCTGTTTTTACAACCAACTTAATAATTGTATAGCTACCACGACGAGTTTTGGTAATTATGTTTTCTTAGTACTGCCAAATTATAAATAATAAAAAGAAGCCGACATTTTCGCTGACACAGACCTACAAGCTTCCAAATAGCAGTGTTTCCAGTAAACAGGAGTTGCGGGAACCACAGGGACACTGTTAGCATCGTGTCACCGGAGGACAGCGAACACCGGCTGGACGTTAAAGCGTGCAGCGAACTTTGAGCTAACTTTAAATCCAACAGGAAATAAACTTTGACCCATTTAAAATGCGTATAGACCCCTAAAATATCCTAAACTTGTAATAGTGAAACATTTTTCATTAAAAATTCAATTTAATTAACTACTTTAATAAACTAGCGTTGTAATAGGACGGCACGAAGTAGACTTTTAGTACCACTGGCAGCTAACGTTACAGCGTGTTAAAGGTCCGACTGTGGGTTATTCAGGTAAGATTACCTGGCTCTCCGGTAAGCGATGACCTCGCCCTCCGTGCACGACCACGATCAGCAAAGCCAGAGCTACTGTGAACAGCAGAAGGAGCACCACGGCTAAAAACAGGGCCATTCGCTGAAGTCCAGTCACTTTCTGGTGGAGAAACTGAATCATGGTGTGCTGTCGGTGTAATCCTGCGTGCTCTCCGCAGCCGTCGTCCTCCATGCAGCCGCTGCTTTCCCATTCGTGGCGGATCAGCCGTCGGTTCCCATCCAACATCTCCATTTATCAGCGCGCTGTCGCCCACGTTGAGAACCACTGCATTGGTAGGTAGTCTCGATTTAAGCGAGTTTCACCCAGTGTTGGGACTCAAACACTAACTTCCTCTTTCTGGAATTCGTTTTTCACCGACTACAAACGTTTCACCTCAAGCACAGATTCCATACTCCCACTCGAAATAATTTTATGGCAACAAAGACACCCAACAAGATGTGATATGGGAGAGGTTTTTTACTGTGCTTAATATATCCCTCACTTTCTGACTGTCAGGGACAACCCCATCTGGACTCTGGTTCTCGGTGATGGAAGGACAGAGCCACCACTAGGAACAGAGATGGTAGAGCAATAGAGCAATTCCACTCTCAGCTTTGTCTTTGTTGATGAAGAAAGTAATTAGCAGATGAAATGAAGTGGGCTTGCCTGCAGATTCCCAGTCACACATTCACTGTGTACACAAACGCCTGCCAACCTGTGAAAGTACTGTATTCCTCTGTATCTGAAAATAAATGATTAGTAAACATAAGCTGTGCGTTGGACATGAAGTGGTCATAGACCAGTGGGGGTCGCCAAGGCCTGAACAAACAGAAGGCCTATATCTCATCATCCTGCAGTAAAAGAAAGTACATAATTAAAACAACCAAAGAGCCAATAGAACAAGTGCCAGGGAGAACAAAACTCTGAATCTGTCAAAAAAGAAGCCTATGAAGTCTGTATGATTGTTAAAAATCTTTTTTTTTAAAACACAATACAGAGAATTGTATAAAAATTCCTAAAAATAATCAGGAAAAATCTCTGATCAATATTCACAGGAATTAATCTGCTCAAAATTCATCCAAATTGTTTGTTTTACACAAACTTCACTGTTCACTATCAAGTTTATTAATTGTTATTTTTATGCACTGAATACAATATGAAATATCCATAAAATATGTCATTTAGTCAGTTTACTCAATGATAGAAAAGGGCTCCCTCAAGGCAGAAGGTTGAGAACCACTGTTATAGACCAGAATGCACAGTGAATGTCTCATTATTGATGCTATTTGTAAGGAAATGTTAGGTAAAGATTGTTGTAACTGGATTTAAGGAGCTAAATGGAAATCAGAAACATAATTTTCCCGATGCAGGCTATCAGAGCAGACACAAGTCAACAGCCCTCAGGGGCCGATCAAGAGAGGTGGCATAGGGTGGCAGCTGACTAAACACAGAAATAAAATACCTGGCCACTCCAGTTTGGTGTCAAATGCTGTCAAATTTAACAAATTCATTTGGATTAATATTTATTACAGTAACATGTTCAAATCGGAAATTAATTTAATAATCTGTTATGGCCATATTTTAGATTAAGTCAAAGGCTTAAAGGACCAGTGTATACGATTTATTGGCATCTTGCAGTGTAATAAATCACAACTCCCTCGCTTTACCCTCCCCCTCTGGGCTACTGCTACCACTAGCAGAATTTTCAGCCCAGTGGAAAAACTATACACTGTCATATCTACATGCATACAGCCTATTAATGATCACACTTGTTGTGGTTGATGAATACATGCACAGCGATGTTAATTGTATCATCATAATTCTTCTAGAACAGTGGTTCCCAACCTGGGGGTTGAAACCCACACTAGGGGTCACTAATGCTTCATTGTATTGTATTGCATTACTTTATTAATCCCACAACGGGGAAATTCCCTTGTCACAGCAGCAATTACTTCAAATAAATAAATACAGATATAAAAAAAACTATGGTTAAGTGGTAAAGCTGTGGTATGGTGGTCATTTGAAAAACAGAAACTACAACATTGATCAGGTGTTGTAGAGTCTGACAGCGGCAGGGATGAAAGACCTTCTGAACCTCTCCTTCTTACACCGTGGGTGTAACAGTCTGCTGCTGAAGGAGCTACTCAGGGACCCCACAGTGTCATGTAGGGGGTGAGAGGTATTTTCCATGATGGATGTCAGCTTCACTAACATCCTCCTCTCACCCTTTCATGAGGCCTTCTTGATTTTAAGGCATGCGAGAAAACTTAAAAAATATACACATCAGGCCTATATCTCAGCATTTGGTTCACTTCGGTGAAGAAAAATACATTTTCTAATAGAGCAATGGTCAAGCGTCTGGCACAAGAAAACACTGAATTTGTCAAAAAAGAAGCCTATTAAGTCATAATATACAGACAGAATTGTAAAAAAAGTTCCATTAACAGGAAATAATCTGCTGAAAATTCATCCAAATCACTGGTTTTACACAGGCCTGTAACTGTCTGCAGTTACTGAGTTCACGATTTGGGTTCATTGTACAGTTTTGAATATTAATTAATATTATGATTATTATATGAAATATCCATAAAATATGTCACTGAGTCAGGATCAGTTGTCAGTTAGTCAATGATAGAAAAGGTAAAAGGTTGGGAACCACTGGTCTAGAAGGTGAAAGTGTTTGTTGCAGGTGAAATCACACAGCCCAGCAAACAAACATTTGAAAAGTGTCCCGAGATAACTTCTGTTATGAATTGGCACAATACAAATAAAATTGAATTGAATTGAATTGAATTGTAGTAAAGTGTAGACAATTTCCTGGAGAAAAAAAGTATCCCAGGAAAGTGAGCCGTTACATTAATGCTGACTAATGAACACTAATGACACGTCATCATGAACCTTTAATCAATAAAAATGGAGGAAATAAAACGGGTTGAATGTGTCAGTACTAGGTCAATATGACAGTGTGTAAGCAAGTGCTGTCCTCCTGGAAAATGTCCTGGAAAATGATTCCTTAAAAGGAGCATGAACCCTGGTCTCGATGTAAGTTCACTGAACTCAAACACCTACTTCCTCTTTGTGGAGGTAGTTTTCCACAGACTCAGATTTTCAGTGATGGAAGGGTAGCGCCCCTCCAAACCAACTAACACAGATGATGGAGCAATAACACTCCTATCTTAATCTTTGTTAATGAAGAAAGATATCAGCCAACGAGTCATCAAATTCCCTCGAGTTATCTGGGCCTGCCTGCGGATTCCCATTTACAATGACTGTGTACACAAACACCTGCCGACCGGTTAAAGTGAAAATACTGCATTCTTATGTAGCTGAAAGACGTCAATTATAACAATACTGTCATTTAATTTAACTGAAGCGTTATCCAAACCACAATAACAGCCACCGGGACTTGTCATCACATATTTCGAAAGAAAGTTATGAAATATTACGGAAAAAAATCTGGACAAGCACAAATTGTAAAAACGTCAACATCAACAGTCTATCAGACATTACATCATCCTGTATTAGAAACACAATGTACATCATAAAAAAGAACCACAAGCGTAATGATTCAAAAGCTTGTGAGCTGTCAAGTCTTTCAAAACACCCCTCCATCAAGATGGCTTTGTGTGTGGAGAAGGTTTACAGTCTTGCCAAACTCCCCCCACTGCCCCCCCAGACAGCAGCCATATTTATATCTATAATATAACTATATTGGATATCATACCTTTATACCTCACAAATTCAACCAACCTCGAAGTCAGGACGTCTGTGACTGATCATTGCTTAATATATCTTAAATAAAATGTATTAATACCTAATGATAAGGTTTTCTAGAAGTGGATCTATGTAGAGATCCACTTCTAACCTATCCTCCATGCTGTTGAAGGGATTCACATGACATTTTTGCAAGTCCCTAAAGTTTTCCTGCTGGACACAAGATGTCTCCTCCTTCACTGTAAAGTCCATTCTCAGTGGATGAGCACTGGTGGCTTCAGGTTTCTACATCACACTGTACAAGTTGATACTGGCCCAGGATTATTTACCCACTTATATTGGAGTTAGACTAGCAGTTTTCCCTTGCCTCCAGTAGTTGTGCTAAGCTAGGCTAAGCTTGTAACCAACTTGTAAGCCAACTTTCCATTTAAACAACATTTCTCAAACCTCAGTGCGTCAACTGGGTATCTGTGGGGAAATTCTCCAGTAGAAATACTGTAATAACGTACGGCTAATGCAAACCAACATTCCCTACTGACTTCTTAATAAAAACAACAATACTTTTGCCGCCCCAGAATTCTGTGTTTTGTGACGTTAACCAGGTATCACAATAAACTTAAAAAAATACTTCCTGCCAGTCAGGACTGCATTCTGCTGTAGCCTTTCTGGAATTACAGACCTAGGCTCTAGGTATCATTATGGATTTCCCATGTTTCTGTTTGTGATTAAGATGAAAAGGTATGTGAGAGACACAAAGACAACAGTTAAACCCATTTTTATTTGAGAGTTGAGCTCCGACTTTGGGGTATTATTTACATCATTTTATCATTTGTTTTGGGTTCTGGGTGGTGCATGTTTAGTCCTGCAGCTGTGTGTATGGCAAAGTCCACTGAGAATAAGAAATAAAAATACAAAAAGCTGTGGGCTGACTGCAACATCACACCCCGGAGAGTGACAGGCTGGGAGCTTGTTGAGTGACAGTGTACACACATTATTCTACCTGTACAATAATAGTGCTACTATTCACATTCATCTGTACAATAATCATATTTACAGTGATTACATTAGGGAAAGAGCCAGTACCTGAGGAGTTAGTTCCATAATTAGCTTTACTCATTCACCGTGGTAAAATGAAGTGCACCCAACCAATGGTAGCCTAAACAACACAGAAAACATGGGGGTTCGTGTCCAGGATCTGGTGTGAAGCTTTGAAGTACATCGATTTTACAGCAACTCACTGTTTGAGCTGATGCAACTTGATGGGGGCTGGTTTCACTCCACAAAAACAGTCTGAGTCACAGAACCCAACCTCTACGTACATTTTTCAAATGGTTTGATCAATTTTTTGCTGAGGTAGGCAGCAAAGAGCAGATTAGATTACAAGTAGATTATGGCGGTTTACGCAAGCCTAGTATGAGTCACTACCCTGCAGTAGTGCCAAGTGGTGAGAGTTTATAAATGGTAGTTCTTTAAACGAAACACTCCTCGTAGATTTCAGGTGAGCTGGCGCGCTTAAACAAAGAACAGGAAGCTATAAACAAAAGATGAGGTCATTAAAAACGCTTGTGCCACCAGCCTTCGCCTTCCCCTATGACTCTCTCCAAAACACACAAACTATACATGAAAACATACTGGCCAATTCAAATTACCATTCGACAGCAAGTAAAGATAAAACACCATGAATAAACACATCATACATGTGCAGCATTTCTCCCGAGAATGAAACATCAACCAATAAATAAGAACTGAATAAAACTTCATTAAATAACAATCATTGTCTCAGTTTAAGATCACTGTTCAGGCGATCCACTTA